TTGCTTGCGGGTGGTAGCTGGTGGTCCGGTGGCGGGTGCAGCCGAGGATGGCAGACAGTTCTTGCCAGAGGTGCGACTCGAACTGCGAACCTCTGTCGGTGGTGACACGTGTCGGCACGCCGAAGCGTGCGATCCAGCCGGACACGAATGCATTGGCGACGGTGGGCGTCTTGATGTCAGGGAGAGGGATAGCCTCCACCCAGCGGGTGAAACGGTCCACGCAGGTGAGGAGGAAGGTCTGACCTTCGCTGGGCGGCAGCGGGCCTACCAGGTCGATGTGAATTTCCTCGAAGCGACCGGAGGGAGGCGTCCATGTTGCTACCGGAGCGCGGGTGTGCCGGTGGACCTTGGAGCGCTGACAGGCGACACAGCTGCGGGTCCAGTCGCGCACGTCCTTGCTCAGTCCCGGCCAGACGAAACGGCTGGAGATGAGCTGCTGTGTCGCGCGGGCGCCGGGGTGCGACAGACCGTGCAGCAGCTGGAAGTAGTGCCGTCGGAGGGCAGTTGGGATGAGCGGTCGCGGTGAGCCGGTCGACTCGTCGCAGAGGAGCGAGCTCCCTCCAGCGAGCGGTACGGCGCGCACCTGCAGGCTGTGGGGCGTGTCGAGGTACGCCTTCAGCTCGCCGTCTTCCTGCTGTGCTGCCGCGAGTGCCTCGAAGTCCTGAAGCGGCGGCGTCGGCGACTTCAGCATGCTGACAGTCCGGGACAGTGCGTCGGCCACCACGTTCTCGCTGCCCGGCACGTGACGGACGTCTGTTGAGAACTGGCAGATGAAGTCGAGATGCCTGATCTCCCTGGGCGAGTAGCTGACAGAGCCGGAGCCGATGGCCGACACAAGTGCCTTGTGGTCGGTGAAGATGGTGAAGGGGCGGCCTTCAAGAGAGTGCCGGAAGTGTTTCACCGCCAGGTACACGGCCAGCAGCTCACGGCCGAACGCACTGTAGCGGGTCTCCGGCGGTTTCAGCGTCCTGGAGAAGAATGCCAGCGGGCTCCAGGCTCCGTCGATGTGCTGCTGTAGCACGGCGCCGACCCCGGTGTCCGAGGCGTCAGCCTGCAGACTCAGCGCGGCCCCGGGCGTGGGGTGTGCGAGCTGGGTGGCCTGTGACAGGGCGATTTTGACGCGCTGGAAGGCGTTCTCTGCGTCTGGTGTCCACTCCAGCGGTGCAGCGCGTTTGCGCTTGTGGTCCAGGAGACGATGCAGCGGACATAGGAGGCTGGCGGCACCCGGCAGGAAACGATGGTAGTGGGTTACCATGCCGATGAAGCGGCGTAGCTGGCGCTGCGTGGCGGGCTGCGGAAAGTCCTTCACCGCAGAGACCTTCTCCGGCAGAGGGGCGATGCCGTCCGGTGATACGTCGTGGCCCAGGAACTTGATTCGGCTGGCGCCGAACACGCACTTCTCCGGGTTGACGGTGATGCCGAACCTGTCCAGGCGCTCCAGGACTTGGCGGACGTGGCGGCGGTGTTCCTCGTGGGACGTGCTGGCGACCAGGATGTCGTCGAGGTACACGTAGCAGCACGTCAGGCCGCGCATCACCTCGTCCATGAAGCGCTGGAATGTTTGGCCGGCGTTGCGGAGCCCGAAGCTCATGCGGCACATCTCGAAGAGGCCGAAGGGCGTCACGATCGCCGTCTTCGGAATGTCGGCAGGTTCAACCGGAATCTGATGGTACGCGCGCACGAGGTCTATCTTCGTAAAGACCGTGCAGCCATGCAGATTCGCGGCGAAATCCTGAAGAAACGGTATCGGGTACCGGTCGGGCACAGTTACTTTGTTGAGTGCGCGGTAGTCGCCGCACGGTCGCCACTGTCCGGGTGTTGGTTTCGGCGCCAGGTGCAGCGGCGAGGCCCAGCTGCTTTTGGATGGGCGAGCGACGCCGATCTCCACCATCTTTTCGAACTCGTGTCGAGCGAAGCGGAGCCGGTCCGGCGGCAGGCGGCGGGGGCGCCCGACGCGAGGGGGGCCCCGCGTGACGATATGGTGCGTCACGCCGTGCCGCACGGGTAGGAGCCGGGTGGAGGTAGACGTCACGCGCGGAAATTCGCGCAGCAGGCCACTATAATCACTCTCCGCGCACATCCGGACGCCAACGGAGCTGACGCTAGCGGGAGAGCCGACGACGCACGTTGCGCCTTGGTCGGAGCGCAGCACCCGGCGGCGCATGTCGACGGTGAGTCGGTGGAAGGCCAAGAAGTCGGCGCCGAGGATTGGTGTGGAGACATCTGCCACCAGGAATTTCCACTGGAGAGACTGTGCGCCGAGCCGTACGGTGGCGTCGACGGCACCGTGGAGCTGGATGGCGGAGCCATTAGCGGCTTCCAGTCGTGGTGCGTCGCGTTGGGCGGTCACTTGGTCGTCCGGCGTCAGAACACCCGGTGGCAGGACGCTAACCTGGGCGCCGGTGTCGACCAGAAACCTCCAGTTCTTTACCGTGTCGGTAACGTAGAACAGAGGCGCCAGTGGTGGGCCGCCCGTCTTTGCTGGCGCGAGGGCAGACAGGCGAGCTAGTTTCCCTGCCACGAGCAGGGCTGGCGGCACTGGTGGGCGTCAGCGCCGAACCGCTCGTGATACCAGCACAGCCCGTCCGTCGCCGGCGGCTGCCGAGTGTCGGCGCGGGCCGTGCCCGTGCCGGGCGTCGCTGGCCGGCGTGCCGGGCGGGACCTGCTGCGTCGCCGAACGTCTGCGCGGTGGCTCTTGTACGATGCCTCCATCCGCGCGACGGTCGCGGTGAGAGCGGCCACGGCAGCTGTGAGATCCGTCCCTGCCGACTGCTGACAGTTACAGGAGTGGCTGGCCGGCGGAGCGACAGCGGCGGCCGGCGGGGCCACAGCGGCGGCCACCACGGCACCTTGCGACGCCTCCTGGAATCGGTCTGCGGCGCTGGCGAGGTCGTCGATTCCGGTCGATTCTGGCAGGAGGGCCAGGGCAGCGCGCGTGGTCTGCGGCAGGCGCTGGAGGAAGAGCGTCCGCAGGAGGCCGGTGTCATCTCTTGAATTACCCAGCATGTGCTGCATGTTACGCAGCAGCTGGGTGGGCTTCTGGTCGCCTAACTGCTGGTCCCGGAGCAGGGTCTCTAGGCGAGACGCGCGAGACTGCGCCAGCCGAGACCGCAGCGCCGTCACCAGGTCCGTGAAGGACGGCGGCGTGGCCGTCACTACGTCACGTACCTGGGAGGCTACGTGCACCGGTAGGTTCGCTACCAGCAGCTTAAACTTGGTCGCATTGTCGGTGATGTTTGCGACGTCGAATGCGCAGTCTACCTGCACCAGCCAGAGTTCCGCTTCCTCCGGCGAGAAGGCGGGCAGGCGAAACGTTGCGGACGGACGCGAGTCTGCAGTGTCGGGCATGGTGGCGGAGGTGAACGCTCGTCGCGCACTCGCTGTGCAGCCACTGGGGCGCCCGCTGCGCAATCACAGAGCGCTCGCTGCGCTGTCACTGGAGTGCACTCGCTGTGCAACCACTGAGGCGCCCGCTGCGCAATCGCAGAGCGCTCGCTGCGCTGTCACTGTAGCGCACTCGCTGTGCGGTAACTGGTGCGCTCGCGGCGCAATCACTGGCGGGTCTCGCGGGCCCGAGTGCCACACACACACACAGTCAGTCCGCCGGGCAATTACGAGCCCATTCTTGCCGAGGCGATGGGAGGCCAGGTTCGGGTAGAACCTATTCTTGCCGAGGCGGAGCTGTCAGAATCTCGTAGGATCACGTCGGGGTCACCATTTGTGGTGTGGTGCCCTCGGAGAGCCGGCGAAGTCTTCAGATGTCGTAGTCGGAGAGGGAGAGGCTTTGGAGAGTCAAACGGGATTCGCCACTGTCATCCCTCGTACTGGGTAGATGTCCCAGCCGGTTGGGCCGTGTCCCCCGTGCACTCTCCAAAAACATTTGTGGTGTGGTGCCCTCGGAGAGCCGGCGAAGTCTTCAGATGTCGTAGTCGGAGAGGGAGAGGCTTTGGAGAGTCAAACGGGATTCGCCACTGTCATCCCTCGTACTGGGTAGATGTCCCAGCCGGTTGGGCCGTGTCCCCCGTGCACTCTCCTCCACCCCTATGATCGATACCCTCCTCAAGGTGGACGCTGGCCCGTCCCAGTGGTACCCGTAGGGCTAAACCGCGCCGTAGGAGGTATAGGCGTATATTTAAACGAGTGAGGCTCGTGTCGATCAAAGAGACCAGTTGAACAACGGAACTGAACAGTTTGGCTTTACATTGTTGAGCCACGGAGAACATTGGTAGTAACGGTGAAAGTAAAAGTGACATCTGTGTGTAGCGGCGCAAGTAGAGCTTCGCGGTCTGCCGCCAGGGGCAGACTGAGCAAGCGAGGTGGCGCAGCTGTCGCTACACTCTTCACTCTTTGTTTCAAAGAGCATACCATGTTATATTGCATTTAACTAAACACGTCAGTTTCAACTCAGCGAGGCGGTTGCGGGCAGGGCTGCGGAGTCGATGGATTTTCAGTGACTCCGACTCCGACTCCGGGAAAGACTTCGACTCTGACCGACTCGGACTCCGCAGGCCCTGCAGATCTGCAGAGTCGATGGATTTTCGATGACTCCAACTCCGACTCCGACTCCTGCCTCCAAAATCGACTCCGACTCCGACTCCGACTCTACAGTCCTAGTTGCAGGATATGCTGCGATTGGCAGCACATGCGCCCACCAGTCAAGTATCACTAGAAACGGTTCGCAAGCATTATTGAAACCGAAAATTTAGATATCTGCACTTTGCAGAATGGATGGATGATCACTGATCAGTTAAGTGAGAGACACAGTTTTTATAAGTTGCGTGTTTTAAAATAGGTAGTTAATACAGCTGTATGTACAACTTGCAAGTTGCATGCCATTAGATAGATCTGTGCTCGTAAAAAAGAAGCTGAAATATGTAAGGCTCGTATCAAATCAACCATACATATACCTAGTACCTACTTACCACTGAACGATGATTTTATTGATACTCTTCTATTTTGTTGTCTATTTTCGTCCTGAATGTATATAAAATACAAATTTGTTCACGATATAACACTATGTATTGCTGTCATCACACAATCTTCATATACCACGCCATTTTACCACGGCTTGCGATTGTCCAAAAAAATGATACGCGAGCGTCGCTGTCACAAGGTGAAAGGAAGCATGCAAAACGGATCAAATAATTTGTAACATGTTAATCTGTTCAATACTATGCGCGTAACAAGGCTCGTGACATGTGAATTGTGCTAGTTCACAATGTCGGTCTATAGTAGAACAAATGCCCTTGTGCAGCTTGCACTCGACCGTAAGATACACGCCACATAAAGTGAGCACAACAGTCTGCCGTTACGGTTGGTGTGTGTCCATGTCAGTAGACCTTATCTAAACATCTATGTCATGATCGGGGCCATTGTCTCGACTGGAGACTGGCGGCAAAGCGGCCTTCAAGAACACAAAGAAGTAAAGCTGGACAGTGCACACGGTCATGTATATGAATAAATAGACAATACGTAATTGATGTTTTAAAAAGGAAAAACATCTACTTTTCATGCACACAACACGAACAAATCCGTCCTCAACTTGTTCTCACGCTCACTCGGCACTCTCACAATAACTGGCAGCAAAGAACTGTAGAAAAGAAGCTCAACATCGACTACAACAACTTATCGACCAGGCAGCCCGATCACTCCTCAGTCATCCTCCTGACTGTTGTTCTTCTCCGAGCCACCCTCACCGGAGATCTTGAGCCGGAGCTCCTCCGCCTTGGCCTTAGAGTCGGCGGAGGGCTTCACCTTCTCGGCCAGGCTGCCGGCCACCTGGTACCAGGCGGCGGCGTCCGTGCACAGCAGCTTGGGCAGGCACGGCGGCGAAAGACAGATGTTGTCGGGTACCTCGGCGCAGATCTCGCCGTCGAGGCACACCTTGTTGTCGCAGGTGGGCTCCACCACGGGCCGGCAGACGGGCGTGGGCAGCAGCTGGCAGAACCGCTCCGGAGAGGCGCAGTCGCCGCACGGGTCTGCGGGAGGAGCGGGCGCGTGGTCAGTGACATGAAGGGGTGAGCGTGGCAAATAACATGAGGGGGAGAAGGAGTGGTCAACGACATGAGGCGATAGGGCGTGGTCAGAGACATGGTAGCAGTGAATGGCCAACAACCTCATGGAGAACGCCACTCAAATAAGGCACTGAATTTGAGTTGTATCAGGAAAGACCTGTGATGATCTATCATTGTGTATAACGAAACGAAGCCAAGGCGGAAGGCGCTGTTGATGCTCAACTCTCAACCTTATGCCAAACCAAATCATATATCAATATCAATCCTGGAAGCCATCTCCGCCGTTCACCGCTTGCGAGCCCGATGTATCACTCACTGGTTTTGACGCAGTAGGGTTTCGGGTGGCAGGGCAGCGAGACGCAGACGTCCTGCATCAGGGCGCACTGGTAGCCAGGCTCGCAGGGAACACCGGCACAGGTGGGTGCCTCCAAGCGCATGCACACACTGACACCGTCCACGTCCTGGCACCGATTCGGCGGCAGGCACGGCTGGTGGCCGCAGAACTCCATGCGGCCTGCAACAGCGCACATAAATGGGACAGGTTAGGCAAGAATACACATGATAATTGGATTAATTATAGTGATTACTTCCTTCTTGAGATGATGCAAAAGACAATGTGACAGAAAATGTTGAAACAGAAATTGAATTAGAAGCTTAACGATTGAAATTACGGGTGAAGTAATCAGCCACTCGTGTCCAAATCATTCCGCTGGGATCACTTATTTTGCACTGATGAATCAACTCCAATGAACCCACGTGCACCACTCACGTGAAAAGGGCGAGGCGGCCTGGACCGAGGCCGAAGCCACCAGGAGCGTTGCGAGGGCGGAGGAAGTGAACATGGCTGAGGCTGAGGAGCGAGTGAGCTCTGTGGCCGCCGCGGCCGCCTAAATAGTCGGGCGGCGCGGTCACGGCAGCGACTGCCGCTGCAGGTCCAGCCCGGATGTTCCCCTGGCCGGCCGCGTGTGTATCTGATGACAGACATTTCCTTGCAGCGCACGGCGACAGACAATGGAATTCCCTTGGACTCGGCGCAAGGCCCGCCGCCGTTACCCCGCTCGCGTCACAGCGCGCGCCAGACAGTCCGAGGCGTGGACTGGCCCGGGCCCGGCGCTCACTGGTCTGTGGTCGGTAAAAAACGGGCCACTTGGGGCAAACCGAGAGAAAAGTGAACCATATCCAATTTATCCTGCAGGGAAAACACATTAGCATGCAAAACGAATAAAAACGCGATGTGAGGTTGGGAGAACGTAAACACCAAACACAAAGACGGATTAGCGTTGGATGTTCCGTAATTCGGTGAAGTTCTGCAAATTAGATATTGGTGGGAACCACGTTTGGACAGAATTCGAGTAGCAAGGTCAGGTGTACCTACTAACAAGGTAAACATGAGTTAATGCGTCATGATGCATCATCATTTGCATAAATGCTTCATAATTGGCGTCATAAGCCTCACCAGGAGCTCGAAACATTTTGAGCGATCTAAGAAACTGACTGGTCTGAGATCATATTCCTGAGAATTTGCTTTGTCACTAAATATTTCGGCGTGAGAATCACACATGTGCTAGTGCATAATTATCCTCTAGCACTTTGATTTGTTTCGAGATAACGCATCGAGGCCGTTCAATGCCGCTCCAAGTACGGAGTAAGTGAATTCCTAGTGCTCTACAGTCGCTTAAAAACATTCCAGGATAATGGGTATGTTTCTCAGAATGCTGGTAACTTTGGCTCCGTACTTCTGCATTTGACGCAATTATCTCGAGCAATGTCATGGGAAAGGACAAGGACCACGGATTTGGTCACTTATACCTATAGTGGGAAAAGTTGGGCATATACGCAGCTAGCTTCCACCCAATTTGGTACCACAAAACTATTTTTTATCCATAATGCCAGGAGCTGTTTTGATGATCGATAGCTCCGATCCGAATTTGCCAAGAGCCCAGCTGCCTGGGGCTCTTAGATCTCCACAGTCCACATCCTGCTGGGGGAGGGGAAGGGCGAACATATCCTCCCTCTAATTTTGTTCCTGAGCCACTTAGTTAACGAGTCATGTGGTAAGCTTTGTTTGAAAAAAATGTAGCTATAAATGTTATTGTTCAGATGTGGCAGAGACATCATATCATTAAAAACTGTTTAAAACACCAGCTTCTTTTATTTATAGCGGGAGCTTTTGAAAGACTTTCTCCTTTCTCCTTCTTTGAAAGACGCTCGTCCTTCTCATTCAGCCTGTCTAAAAAGCACTAAAACACACAATACACAGGACAGGTACAGACTAAATGAAAATAGATATTTGAAAAACCGTAAAAGGTAATAGGCAATATTTATCGGTAATTTGTACATCAGTTAAAAATGTCAGGCCGGCAAAATTCATATTAAAGGTAAAAATGTACCCCTACTGATTTCCAGGACTTTTACAAGTCGGGCGGATACTTCGTAAGCTAACAGAAGTACAGAACCGCAAAAAATATTCGATTGCCCGCATTACCAGTTCTTCCGTTTACCTCGGGCGTGACCTCGGGTCACCAGCTCGGCCCACTGGGGGCAAAACCATAAATAAACTTTTTCCAGGAACAGTTTTTCCACAACTCTTACATGCATATTGCACAACTCTTTTTGCACCACTCTTTTTCCATGCGTTTTTTTTTCACAACAGCGTTATGCATCAGTTGATGCGCTCCCTTTCCACCTAACACTTACTAAGCTGATTCTACATATAAGGCTTCCTTTTTTTCTTACATGCCCTCATCAAAAGCTATTTCCAATAGTTGATTATGATTTATGACTCACATGATCTCATATCATATATCCTTTTTTGTCTTACTTGATCATCAACATGCGCTAACCTGAAAATAATATGTCAGAGCTCAACTAAAATGAAATTAATTACATTGATGTCCAGTGATCTTTTGTGAATTACCGATATGTTATTCATTTTCAATGTAATTCGCTGGGGCTTTTGGGAGAGCCTATCATAAGTGAAGGAAAGGAAACTCGTACTTGAAAAAACGGTAAATGTGTTTCGATTGTTTGGTAGCTCGAATGTCTCGATGACATAGTTTTTTTGTCCACAGATTATCCTTTCAAAATGCAGACAGCTTCATTAGGAAAGAAGAAACATATGCATGCGGTGCCGTAATAAGGCAGCGGTGTCCGCATAGGTAAAAATGCTGCTGGCTAGTGTTTCTCAGGCTACTTTTTATTCAGATTATGATTTGAATTCAAGGAGAAAACGATTAACCCGCGCCACGCTGGGGGTCCTGGATTTCCACGTCCTGCTGGAGGAGGGGTTGAACCTAACACAGCGAGGTGGAGGGGGCGTATTCAATGAATGCCCCCTTCTAACTCGGCTCCTGGGGCACGTTGTGATACGGGAAAGGTGGCGTTCGAAAGAAAGAGTGTCCATAATAATGGCCAAATTAATCCGGTCACTTTTTCGTCAGGTCAAAGGTCAGGTCACCAAAGAACATTGAATGCCATTTTTCGCTGATTTTCAGGTCGAAGGTCGACAATTTTCAACAAACCGACGTATAACTCAGTACCTGATAGAGCTAAAGCGCCCCAGAAAAGCACATTTGATAGCCCTATTAGCGCTCTTTCTGAGTATTTCTCTCAGGTTTGGCCTAATGTCATCGGTTTTGCCTGCAGGGGGCAAAGATTCCGATATTGACGATTTTTGCAGAAATAGTTTTTTTCTGCAATAACTTTTGACTCAAACCTTGCACGGGCTTACTTTTACCGGCATCGTGTTCTTCTTGTCAAGACGCATCGATTGAACTATAATTTGACCTTGAAAGGTCAACTTGAAACTCCTACCTCAGGCCAAGGTCATGATCTGACCGTAAAGGGTCATGTTGCATATCAGTCGATTCGTATTGTCAAGCTGAACACATCTTAGGCTTTTTCATTGTTCTAGCACGGCTCTATCAAAAGTTATTTGCGAAAGCTTATTGGATACCATTCGTGACCTGAGATGACCTCAGGGACATAAACAGAGGTCACAGGTGCCATTTCCATGCTCAGTGTGTCATACTTACTTGCAATTTAGTATTTGAGAATGTTTAGAATGACGTTCATCCAAAAGAAGCGCCTTTCAATTTTCTCATAATGCGGAGGTCGCAAAATTGACCTGACCTTAGGTCACCGATATCAAAATTCCGAGATACATATTTTATACATACTGTTTCACTTATCAATCGCGGAAAGTTTCAAGGCGATCGGTCACTCTATCTAGCTATGGTAGACATTGAATCTTTTTCAGGGGAGGTCACTTGAAGTGACCTGATGACCTGACCCTGAGTGGACTTGGTCTGAAACTTTCACAGCATACTCAGAAAAAATATGATAAGGTGTGCCAAAACACCGTGGTTCAAATATTCCCGAAAAACCGCAGGGAATGGGGATTGTTCAAACACCCTCCAACAGGGCTCGGGTTAGACGTCAAATTATATTATTATATTTGATATGAAGACAATATTATTATTATTATTATTATTCTTGTATTATGACCTCCATACAACAATGGCTCTTCCGGTCACACAGTAATGATCACAAAGTGCTAAAGTGACAAGCACACATAACATCGCATCTTCATGGCGGCAAAGTTCATGACAAGCACAATAAACACAAAGTAATCCTATAATATGCTCTATAAATGCTAGAGGATAAAAATCTGCTTGTGCTCGTGTACGAGTATGACACTCCATTGACTCATCGACGGTAGGCAGCATGACACTTGGCTCTCGGGTCATAATCTTTGATCATTTTTCACTAATCGATCATAATTGATTCATCATTTTTCAAACGCTGCTTAACGTTTTCTGAGAGCTCAAGGAACATTTGCTCGTGTCTTTTATTGTTCTCTTAAAATTTCTCCGTGCTTCGTCTTGCATTAGTGTACGGTGCTAAGTAATTGATAAATCAGCCATGTTAATCAACCATGTCATGTCAATTTTAATCGTTACATAGGTGGCAGAGGTGCCGAGTTTTAGAGACATGAATACGCCCCCTCCACCTCACGGTGTTGGAATCAAACCAATGTCATGGGATGGTCCCCAGGCTAAGCGGGTATAAAATGACAGAAACACTTGTGCAGTGGTTCAAACTTTCCAGTCGCAGCGGCGCACCAGCTGTCTCAATCAGCCCGACGTCTCCCGCGTAAGCACATCGCCCTATACCGGCTCTGAAATGGCCTTGCTAGACGGTGAACTAGCCTCACTGTAGAAAGATGCCCTCTCGTGAGGCCTCCCTATTTCCTATAGTCACCCAATGACAGTGAATATAATGAGCATCGGATGCTAATGCACGAAATCGCAGAGAATATTCCTGCGTTTGCTGATGATGGTCTTCAAGCTTCAATCCACGCCTCTTGTTCTCACAGGTAGGACTCATCATGCATGGCTCGATGGCTCAGTTCAAGTCAAGTCTTTTGGGCATGCATTGTGCGTATAGAAGGTTGATTGTTGACTCGATGACGACGCAGGTTAAGGTAAGCTCCCTAGTTTGCTGTTTAATGTATGTAATTTCAGTGAGTTAGATGTCGCTGTGCAATTTAGGTAACTACATGCAATATACGCCTTTAGGCAATGGACAGCATTCTGTCGTAGATTGGCACCAATAAAAGGTATTATATGAAGGATCCTTTTACCTATCATGCTAATGATGGTATATTGTATAAGCAGTGTCAGACGGTTAACTCGGTATAGTTTTCCGCCCTTGTTGAGCTCATTAGGAAACAGCGTTGATGCTCAATTTCCGTGTATTGAATGCGGCATAAAAATCAAGGGCAGCAGTTTCGCACGGGTATAACGTATGCAACATATATAGCTGCATCCCTGTATGGCTGTTGTATTTAACGTTTGCTGTTCTGTTCTGTAGCTGTGGCTGGCGACGCTGCTCTTTTTCAGTGTTCAGTCCCGGTTCGGTTTTCAACATCTGGGATCTTTCTCAAAATAGTAGGCATCACAAATTATTAAAGCTGACCCTAATTAATATTGAGAATAACCATTTGTTGCCATTGCGCATAGCATAAATTCAGCGCACACGGAGTGTTTTACTCTCTCTCTCTCTCTCTCTCTCTCTCTCTCTCTCTCTCTCTCTCTCTCTCTCTCTCTCTCTCTCTCTCTCTCTCTCTCTCTCTCTCTCTCTCTCTCTCTCTCTCTCTCTCTCTCTCTCTCTCTCTCTCTCTCTCTCTCTCTCTCTCTCTCTCTCTCTTTCTCTCTCTCTCTCTCCCTCGCGCTCTCGCTCCAATTTGTCATGAAATTCATCCGTTTATTTTCGCAATCTTTAGAAATGATTTGCTTGATTCTAAAAGTCGAATTACCTTTTCCGTTGCTTCACAGAGCAATAATCTCGTCGTTACACTGTTTAAAAGTGATGTCTACTAAAAAAAAACTTTCATTTACGTATCATTTAGTGAATGCATTATAATCAACAAATGAAACAGAACAAAACTTCGAGCATTAATAATCACAATGCAAAAATTGAGATGTCAATTTACCGACACACCTTTCCTCAATGTGGTTACTTTATGTTTCACAGTGCTTACGGGCGTGTCTATTTGCCATTTAGGTGCTCAACGTTTTGTCGTGAAAAGAGTTACTTTGTAGTTTGTACAGTCCACAGCAGAAGTTATGTGGGGTTTCAGTCATGGGTATGGTCTGCTTCTGAAGGTTAGGAACGATTAGCCAGACTGCAGTGAAACTTTGAATGTAGCTTATGTGTATCGCCACCCTTGCAGCTGCAACTTTAGCTATTGACATCTTCTTTTCGATCACTCCGCATTAAACAATCGCCAGTCAAAGCCAGCCGTTGAGATTGGTAAAACCCTACATTACTTTAGCGGTGGGCTGTACCTATGCTCCTCAACCGAACCCGCTTAAAAGACTGCTGAATGTTGAAGACTGCTAAAAACTGAGCAGTTTTTAGTCATTCCCATCGTTAATTGTTGCATAAGACCCACTACAAGTTTTGTCATAGTCATTCAAGAGGTATTCTTAGAGAGTCGTTTTCCTTCGTTGGGATATCAATCTTAATGGTCGCGAAAACGAAGACACCAAGCATGACGAAACTTCGAAACAAAACAATTTGATTTTTTGGATTGCTTTGGAAAAGAAGTTAGAATCTATTGAACTAGCATCCTTTGTAAAAATAGCGTTCAACTGATTTCAAATGCCACCTTTATAAAACATTGATGTTCTAAGCAAACCAACGTGACCATTTGGCGAGTATTATTACGTTGAAAGAAGAAAATCCTCTTCCGTGTGGTAAAATGCTTGATAAGTCATTTGAAATTAATTTGCCTATTGATCAGCACTCAGCTCTACTTTGAAATTGCTTAGCCCTTGCATCAAACACATTTGATTTTGTGTTTCTCAGTAAAACTGGTGAACACCATATATGTGCTGACTAATATGAGTTTATCACGGCACGTACTGGTGAGGAGACCAAACACCTGCAGGCACAGATGATGACACTGACTGATCAGACATTACAGTTACACTTGGCACAGCAGAGCACGTATCATAATCGCATATCATAGAGAGCTCAACTCTCCACTTACTCATACAGACACACTTTCCAGAACCGAAACGCAGTGTTGTATATTACACTGCATATTGTTAAAACACAACGCAAGTTATGATAAGCACAACAGAACAACACCTGACTTAGTCTTCTTCCTCGTCTTCCTCCTCTTCCTCCTCCTCCTCCTCATCTTCCTCTTCTTCTTCTTCCTCTTCTTCTTCCTCTTCTTCTGCTTGGTTTTCTTCCTCTACCTGTGCACTTTTCTCCTCTGTCTGATTATCTTCTTCTGGTTGTTCTTCCTCATTCACTTGCTCTTCTTCTTCCGCTTGCACGTCCTGATCCTGATCCTCTTCTTCCACCTGGTCTTCCTCTTCAGCTGCTTCCTCCTCTGCCACCTGCTGGTCTTCTTCCTCCTCCTCCTCCTCTTCCTCCTCCTTTCCCTTCCTGCTCTTCTTGCTCTTCTTCCTGTAGCTCCTGCTGCTGCTGCTCTTCCTTGAGCCGCTGCTGGCGCCGCTGCCAGAGCCCTTGTACAGCAGCGGCCAGGCCGCGTCGCATTTGAACGTCACGCGGCACGGCGGAGCCTTGCACGCCAGCGGAATCTCGTGGCAGATCTCACCCAGTTCGCAGATCTTGTTTTCGCACGTAGGCTCGACTACGAACTTGCACTCGGGCTTGGGAAGCAGCTGACAGAACATGTCCGGTGCCGCACAGTCGCCGCATGGGTCTGTAAGAGGAGACAGATGAGTTAGATGCGGGCTAGAACAAATGCGAATAGCAGGAAGAAATTGTTTTGACTGTTTTGTGGCACTCTGACTATTGTACGAAAGCATATCTTGAACCATAATCTATGTTATAATCATCATGATTACTATTGATATCAGTTTTCTTCATTACGGACTTTTGTCATTGACCTGAGCATCAGCCGATCCTTCGAAACTTTAGGGGAATAATGTAAATGTTATGATGATTTCGAATTTATAACAAGCAGCCGAAATATCTACAAACGAAAGAAACATTGTTAAAATAGTCTATATGCAAAAAAAAAAACATTCATTTGTTTGCCCACGTTCTGTCTCATAAGCCGTTATTCATCACTCACTCTTTTTGACGCAGTACGGCTTGGGGTAGCAGGGTCGTGACCGGCACAGATCCTGCAGCAGTGCGCACTCGTAGCCGTCCGGGCACAGCGTCTTGGAGCACGTCGGCGACGGCGTCCGCACGCACACCTCCACCCCCAGAAACGGCAGGCACTTGTTGGGCGCGAAACACGACTGCTTGCCACAGAACGTCAGCTTGCCCTCTGCAACACATGGGAGATGACGTCAGTTGAGGGTGAGGAAGAGCACTTGTGAAATTTTACATTGTTTCTCTAAATGTGTTCAGAGAAGCTATAAACAGAAATGCTATTGGATCAACGAGTGCGTTGTTTATTGCGATTGAAAGCCATTGAAACACAATTATTAGTATCTACTTTATCAGATGAGTCCTCGCTTGTAACTCGCCATCAAAGGACAATCCCCTCGAGAGTCGAGATATGCAAGACCTGCTAAAGGAATATTCATTATCCAAATAACCATCTCTCCTATTCTACGTTTATTTGGCTTCCTTTACTAATCAAAGCTGCCGCGACCCACCGCTCTCACCTGAGTGCATCGAGGCAATGGATGCCTCAGCGGCGGCGGCCGAAGCCAGGAGGAGGACGGGGAGTGCGACCGACACGAACATGACTGTATGAGTGCGACCACCAGCGGAGCTCGGTCGCCTAAATAGGCGGCTGGCCGAGACGAGACCGGTGCTAATGGTCGGCCCATGCTCTGTCCGCACTCACCTTTCCTGGCGCGCGGCGGCAAACAATGCTCGCGGTGCGGTCGGCTCACCCGAACGTCCCCCGGAGCTGGATTTCCTCGGAGGAAAGCAGCCGCTCCACAGCCGGGATGGGGCCGATGGACGGGCCGGGACTGAGAACCGACCATGTCCCACCGAACAGGTGCCGTCATCGTGTCCGCCTGACGCCGCCAATTCGGGGAACTGATAATGAGAAGCGCTGGTTTAGTGGGAACTGACGGAGATCCGTGAAGTTTCTGGAACTTTCAAGCAGTAGAGCCAGAAGATGATTTTTTTTAGATTTTATCTCCAAGATTCTCCAAAGATCGAGACACGTGACTTGTATATGAACGGTAGGGTGTGTCATCGAGGGGGTGATTCTCGCAGAATCAAACGCCGTAAGGTTTTTCCTTGGCACATTGATCAATAATGAATTTTCATCCATATCCGAGTCCACCAAAATTAAAATTCGTGCGGCGCCAGCCGTTCAAAGTTTTGGCGCCCGGCGTTGCAGTCTCCAATGCTGAGCGTCACCCAGCACTGCGAGTAACACCAAGTATTGTAGGAGGTAATAATGCAAAATAACTACCGCTGAAAATGATGCTTTTGAGCGCTTCTAAGGCTGATTGTTGCAAAAAAGCAAGTCCTTAGAGTGTCCAATTATTCTTTTTATTGTGCTCAATGAATTAAATCGAGCATGGCTTCTGAAACTAAAGAAGAAGCTGCCCGATTTTGAGAAGCGGGCGGGGTGGAGGCGGAGACGGCAAGTGACTCAGATTCGTCTTCTGAAAACACCGACTCCGTGGCATCCTCTGGGCGGTGCTTCTTCTTCTTCTTCAGCATGTCATCTCGTGTGACCTGGCCTGTCTCCACCAGGAAGTCCCGGATGAGTCCAGCCTCGGTGGAAAGGATCTCCCTCAGCGTCGGCAAAGGGCCCCACGGGCGGGTCCGTGGCCCCTGGTAGGCGGGGTAGTCGACCAACAGGTGTTTGGCCGAGTCCGGTTCGTCGCAACGGACTTTCTCGTCAGACTCGGCCGGACCAAGTCGGAATCGGGTGTCTCCGGTGAGTGGGGAGCAGCTCACGCGGAGCTGTGCCACTGTGATCGACGCTCGGCGGTCCAGTTCTCTCTCCGTGGCCCAGAGCGCCACATCGTCCGCATTCGCAGATGTGTACCTCCAGTTCCCGAGCCGCAGTTATAGCCGGTCATACGAGACTGCAGGGTTAGCGTCCGATGGCTGCGCTGGTCCTTCAGGAAGACAGCCTCCTCCTGAGTGACTGTGGGCGATGAGACTTTTGCACCTGCTCTGAGAGTTGCATTTGCATTTGGCGATATCCAGGAGTTGTTGAATTATGCAGTGGCGGCGCTTTGCTGGTTCCCTGTGTCGTGCTATAATTGTCGTATGGGCATTTCCTAATCAGCTACGTTTTTTTCGCCTCGTGAATTATGATCCGGATAGCATAGGGCCCTGCCGAAAGTGACACGGCCGCGTACAAAACATTTCGTGATAGGACAGCCGGCACTTTTGTCCCAACAGCGACTGCTGACTAAAGCAGAGGCCTTCAGTTATGTCAGGTGGCTGAGTGCTCAAAGAAGAAATCCAACAAATAGTGCATTTAGGGCCGTGGCGAAAAAAGGACAAGGCAACTCTGAACTAATGAAGGAATCCCTGTTCGCGATCTATGTAAAACACACGACGAAAGTGATCAAAAGGGACTGCTATAAGCCCCACAGACAGCCCTACAGACTTCTGAACAAAACACCAGAGACACAGGAAGGAACAAAGCGCCGCCACTGCATAATTCAACAACTCCTGGATATCGCCAAATGCAAATGCAAGTCTCATCGCCCACTGAGTCACTCAGCAGGAGGCTGTCTTCCTGAAGGACCAACGCAGCCATCGGACGCTAACCCTGCAGGCTCGTATGACCGGCTATAACTGCGGCTCGGGAACTGGAGGTACACATCTGCGAATGCGGACGATGTGGCGCTCTGGGCCACGGAGAGAGAACTGGACCGCCGAGCGTCGATCGCAGTGGCACAGCTCCGCGTGAGCTGCTCCCCACTCACCGGAGACACCCGATTCCGACTCGGTCCGGCCGAGTCTGACGAGAAAGTCCGTTGCGACGAACCGGACTCGGCCAAACACCTGTTGGTCGACTACCCCGCCTACCAGGGGCCACGGACCCGCCCGTGGGGCCCTTTGCCGACGCTGAGGGAGATCCTTTCCACCGAGGCTGGACTCATCCGGGACTTCCTGGTGGAGACGGGCCGGGTCACACGAGATGACATGCTGAAGAAGAAGAAGAAGAAGAAGCACCGCCCAGAGGATGCCACGGAGTCGGTGTTTTCAGAAGACGAATCTGAGTCACTTCCCGTCTCCGCCTCCAGTTCCACCCCGCCCGCTTCTCAAAATCGGGCAGTTTTTTCTTTAGTTTCAGTAGCAATGCTCGATTTAATTCATTGAGCACAATAAAAACAGTAATTGGACACTCTAATGACATGCTTTTTGCAACAATCAGCCTTAGAAGCGCTCAAAAGCATCATTTTCAGCGGTAGTTATTTTGCATTATTACCTGCTGCAATACTTGGTGTTACTCGCAGTGCTGGGTGACGCTCAGCATTGGAGACTGCAACGCCGGGCGTCAAAACTTTGAACGGCTGGCGCCGCACGAATTTTAATTTTTTGCAAAAACGGTTGCTATGCCGTGTGTTTGCAGGTCTCAGTGCCAAGGAATTTCTTTACGGCATTTGGTTCTGTTACTGATGACACACCCTAATGAACGGTTTCCAGTGGTTTTGATGTAACCCTGGATGCTCTTCTTATTTTGATTTTTGACCGACGTTGTGACTTTGTGTGACTTTGATGTGCTCCTGACTAGCGCACTACCTCGAGGTAGTAGAAACTTGCATACATAAATTCAGAACGAACATGCGCTCTACATAGGAACGACTCAATGCTGTCAGGCTGGATTTCCTCGATGAGTCAAGACAGTCGATGAGATGATACATCAGACATTTCAACAAAACCTCGGGCATGACAACATTTTGGACTAAGATCAGAGGCTACCCGAGTCAAATTTGCAAGCAACCACTCTGTTCAAATGTGTGTCTATATCTATTAATCGGGCAATCATTATAAGTTATGTAGTTGGTGGCTGTTTAAAAATGTTCAGAAAAACTATTCTCAAGTTCTTTGAAACAGCCCTTTGAGACGTTCCTTACATTTGACTTATTTCCAAAACAGATTTCATGTACGATAAAACAAAACTCACTTCCACTGCAACAGCCCGAATTTAATATTATTTTTAATCATATGTGACCTTTTTCATCAGAGACAGATTTCCTTTAGAGTTATGGCCTTTGATTTTCGTAATGCATGAATTGCGCACTTGCCGGCGGTGGATGGACGGTGTGGTTCTTCAGTCTCTACAGCTGGCAGCGTACAGTTGTGACACAGTTCTACAAATACGACTACAGGAAAATGTTGATACCGCACATCCCGTATCAGACAATATGCTCGAGGCGGATGTTGAGTAATATGTAATTACTGAGTACGCTGGAATCAGTTGGCCGGTGGATGGTCAAGAATCGTTTGGTGACGAATCCATAAAGTCGGCAACAAGAATCCGGTTTCTCATAAACCACAACCAAAAATAACTAAATGTTACCGAGCTGGAACATGCAGCATAAAGGCACCTGCTTATAGAAAATATTTTGAAGTAGATTTTCACAAAGAGAATATGATTGATTTTAGAAAGCTGCTGTTTATGCTAAACTCTGCATAACCCTTTATCTCTTTTGAACCAATCCCACAATATAGAGTAGTCTATAATTTCGATGACTTTTATTAGATGCGACTCCGAGCAATGAAACGCATATACGAATTATCTAAACTAAATTCCTACTGTTCGTATATCAGACCTATTCAATATAGGTGTGTACATCACAGATAGCCGGAAAACCCGACACTCGAACAATCTCTGCATAGAATCCAATGACGTTGCGAGTCTTAAGTTGTATTGTGTTCTGATGGAAAGCTTTCGATCGAGGCCCAAAAGATGCTCCTTCGAAGGACAGATGAGACAAACAATCTAAAGTTCCAAAGTGAAAGCGTCTGAACGCAATTATTTGAGCGTCATTTTTTACTTTCGATTACAAATGAAAAATTTGTGGTTTTTATTCAACTTCGCTTCATGACATCACAATGCATACACACGGCATCGACATTATGAACACTGAACAATGCGCTTGCACAAAACAATCCAAGATAGGTGCGATAAGACCGTAAACTTGTCGCCTAGAGCAACGACCTATCCGAGTGACGTAAGTACACGTCGCAGACCCAGGTCTGTTGCAGGTCGATGTATGCTGTAGGCCACTGTCATTTCCCGTATCCCTGCAGAGCACGTCGTTCCGTATGAACCGACCAAATTGACGCAGAAAATACCAGAATATCTCCATTTCCGGACGAGCACTGGCCGGTGTCTTGCCATTTCGAAGCTATAATAGCCGTTCTGGTACAGATTAGGCGCAGATCTGGTCAAATCAGGTTCAGTTTGTCTCTTAGCAGCTATCAGCTAGGGTTGCACTAATTGCTTATATGCCTGCTTTGTCATATTATCAGAGAGCATCATCGATTAAAACACTGAAATAAATTCATAAAATGAAGATATTTGCTGTAAAAGGAATTAGGTGCAGATTTGGTCAAATCAGGTGCATTCGCCGGATAGCCCGTCGTGAAAACGGCTATTGTGGCCAGACACATGCTCGCATTGAGTTACGGGTAGATAAAGCAATAAAACGTCAATTAAACTCTGATCATAGCAAAATATTTCGTTGGAACTCAGCCGAATCTAGCGGAATGCACTGTTACTTTTTCTTGGTGACGGTATGGATACGTAATTATGCATGCACTTCCGATCAAAGCTAGGACGTCAATCACAACTGGACTTACCCGCGAGTTGCTGGGGGGGGGGGGCGTTAAACGCCCTGGGCCATAGCATAAAAACGGCGCGCCGCAGGCGCGCCAAATTTTGGGTACCTGTAAGGAATTGATTGAAGTTTATTGTGACAAAGTTTCAAAAAAATCGATCGGAAAATTTTTGAGATATCGAGGTTTTAGTGACGTTATGATTTTTGAATTTTCGACCAAAAACGGCGTATGTTCAAAAAATCATATAAAATCACAGAATAGACATACAGACATGCCGTAAACGCCGTTAGACTGCCAATACCATGAACAATCAAATGACAATCTTCGATTATTGATTATCGTTCCGCATTTTCCAAAATCTTGAACTGAATCTTGACAATTTCTCGTGACTACTTCACGACTATGATACATGCATTTCTTAAATTAAACTTTTTTAGCCAAACACGTACACATATGATAAAATGAATGTCACCATCGTGTTCTACGCCCCAAATTACCCATAAAACATGTGTCACGGGCTGCGAATATCAGTTTTGATTTTCGGGGATATGTACCCACCCGGTTGACCTGACCTTGACCCTGACCTATGCTTGACTGACCCCTACATGGAGCTGACACTCTTGTAGACCTTATACGATGGATTGTGCACCATTTTGACAGAGTTTATGACGAGAGGCGCCCATTGCGAAGTCCTGAAGTCCATGCTACTGAAAGGCCGATTTCAGGTGTTTGACCTGACCTTGACCCGACCTGTGACCTCAAAACTCAACTTTAAAGTACTCATCTGAAGCGTCTCGTCGCGCTCTTTCGTTTGCCGCCTCGTGCGTTTCGCTGCGCCTATTGGTTCTCGAGTTATCGGCTGGGGGCGTTTAACGCCCCCCCCCCCCCCCAGCAAACGGTGGGTGGCGAAATACCCCAGCAACTGCCGGGTTAATGCGCTTAATCATCACTTCGAGTCACTGTGATGCGTCAGCAGTGCACCTCGCTATACACAAACGGTACCACGGATTAACCTTCCAGGCGGTGGGGGGGGGCAATTTTTTGCCCCCCCCCTTTACTTTTTTCGATATATCTCGAGAACCGCTGCGCCGATCGTCACCAAACTTTCAGTACCCTCCCGGGAGCAGCTAGCGCACATGGTGACCAAAAATTTTTCCAAAGGCTATGATAGGTTGGCCGCTAATGACGTAAGAGTGACGTCATTTTTGCCATTTTCGACCCAAAAAAAGGTTTCGCGGGAAGAGCTGTCAGGCCTACAGCTTCAGAGATACAGAAAAATGTTTTAGACATAAAAGGTATGGAATCAAAAGGGCTACAAAACTGCTATTTCGGTTTTTCAATTTTTTTGGATTTTGACCCCCAAAAATAAAAAAATAGATTTTTTGAATATAATAGCCAAAAAATCCAAAAAGTTTTTTGAATTTCGAAAAAAAAACCGGAATATATGTGATAGTCCCTACCGCCTTCTATCTACATACCAAATTTGAGATCGATACCTCGTTTTTTGGCCAAGTTATAGCGAAAAAAACTGTTCAAAATTGATGACGTCAAATTTTCAAACTCAATTTTTAGCAATTCTAGACCTCGTAGCGCAAAACAAAGACCACCATTAGACTCCACGTGACGAGCTGCATCGAATCGATACCCATTTTGTGCAAAAATATCAACTTTGAAATTTGACCTTTTTTGACCTGACCTTGACCTGACCTCCACCAGAAAGTGACCTAAACCGTACCTGATGCTCTTATATACAACACCATTGAGTTGGAAATGAAAAACTGGCCATAAAACATGCATCACATAACCTTAGTAAAGTTGGGCTCATGTGGTGACCCTTGGTGACCTTTGGTGACCTGACCTGTGACCTGACCTGGTATGACCAGTGACCTCTAATAGCAACATATGTACTAGACAACTGACGCCTTATCGCTGATTTTCGACAAAATGCGTTTTACTCGGTGTTATAGCGCTTTCCCTAGAAGCCCTGTGAACGGTGAAACATTTTATCTTTGACCTGACCTGTGACGTCATCGGTGACCCCGAGGTCAATGAAATTTGGTTTCCTTCGACAAATTTGACAGGGCTATCGAACGCCGTTTGAATTTTTCGGATCCGTCCAGTAGTTTCGGAGATACGGGGGGGGGGGGCAAAAAAGTGCCCCCCCCCCCCCCACCGCGTGGAAGGTGGCTGGTAGGCCCACCGCCTGCCGGGTTAATGACCATTGCGGACATCCGGCGGCCGTTCTCATTTCGGAGAGCCTTTCTTGTATCCCTTTTGACATTTACATATACGTCGGTCGGCAGTGTCTCACGACATCCTTGTCGCATACCTCAGCGAAGCTTAATTACGAGCGAGCGAGCGCAGCGAGCGAGCGAGTTCATTCTGAATTAAGGGAAAATCCTGAGTATGAGCGGCCGGCCAGCCGACCGGCCGTGGGGACGCTCTTCAAAAGCTAATATCTTAGGAACGGGACATCCGATTGACAAGCAGTCTTCTTTACTGAATGTCACTTGGATGTAAAAGTTCTGTGGTGTGATGACCACCATGCGATCTTGCCAACCACCGCACGTGGCGCGTGGTAAAGTTGGACATTTTTTTAAGAACCCCCAAAATTGAAATTGCAACCTCAATAACGGCAAAACGGTTGGGCCGATTGAATTGAAACTCGGTACACAGTTAGGTCTCCATCAGATAATTCATCTGCATGTGTTAAGGTTGGGGTGCTACTGCACGTGCGCACGTGCAGGGGGCGCTCCCAGATCTCGAGAACGGCTGGGCCGATTGCGCTCAAATTTGGTACACGGTTGGGGACCAGTTAGTAGGGTGCCGTGCAAAAGTCACTTTGGACCCCGCTTGCACGTGCGCACGTGCAGAATGCCGCTTCCAGATCTCAGGAACTGCCGGGCCAATTGCGTTCAAATTTGGCACACCGCTAGAGACCGGTTAGAAGGGTGCTTTGCACAAGTCCGTTGGAAGTACCCTCTCGCCCTTGCGCACGTGCAGGGCTCACTATCTCGCTCGCTCGTTCTTCGCCCAAAAGACGTTTTACTGGTAAAGAGTTCGTGCGAAATTTGGAGTTTGTAGGGAAGCGAACATGGAAGCGAACACTTTGTGCGAAATGATCTGCTACATCGTCAGAAGTGCACACTGAATTTGTTGGCCTTATTGCTCGTTTTGTTCTGTGAAATTACCCAGGTGAGAATAGGATAGGATAGGCTTGTCAAAACTAAGCATTTGTTCGTCGTTTGGCGCTGTGTACTCAGCAATGAATATGTGATAATTTGAACAATTGCCTCATTATATTTATTACGCAATATGGTTAAAATACCAGCGACTGACGCGTGGCAAAGCACAATTCCGCCGCATGTGCGCCTTATGCTAGAACCAGCCCATTAATGCATGTATTTCTGAGTTCATTGTCCGGAATACGGCCACTCCAGCATAACGCTGACAGCATACTGAGCAATGTGCATAGTCTGCCGTTCAACAAAGGTAAAGTAAAGCGGAACGGTAAAACTCAGAGGGCGTAACAGCAATATGGACTTGACCCTGCAACAGACTCGGGTGTCTCTAAGCAATAGCCGGATAGCCTCTGCGAGCAGGACTCTGCGGCGTTTTTTTTTTTTTTGGCGAACATTCGGGATGTAGTGTAGGTGCACACCGATTAAATGTGCACGGAGCGTGCAATATATGCGCGTAGTTTTTAGCCTTCTACGTGTGCGTAATGCGTATGTCCAGACCGGAAAGGCTTATGCAAGGGAAGTCCAACCGTTTTTACGTCAGTGTTTTTCCGTTACACTTGACTCCATTCATGCTTAGTTCCACCATGTCGGCCACTTCGTTTGACTGTTGTAATTCGTCAGAAATACACGCAGTATTGACCACTCCTATACGTTCTGGGTTCAGGAAACTGCGTCTGCCCGATTTAACCTTCTACCCGCAACTGCGCTCAACCCCCTGGCGACCAAAGGCGAATAGGAAATGATGTATGCGTCTGTGCTACTTCGAACCTAGCCCGGGGCCGAAGTCGCCGCAGTCCGGATTTCCTTTAGTCTGTTATTGCTTTATGTCTACCTATTCGTTGTTTTTCTTCTTCAACGCCATTTTACGGGTAATATTACGTAACGTAGCTTTGCTTCAGCACTGCGGATGTGTAAGCATTAAACGTTTTCGAGCCCAGTTCAGTTATCAACCGAACTGTAGTCTGTGCTTAAGTTGCACCACACAGCTAGTGCTGCAGGTTTTCGTCAGAGCATCCCACTTGTTTGATACCATATGTTCATAACTTTGCAATGTGCAAAGGCAGTCGGGCGGACATATAAATTTACTTTATTTCTGTAAATTGAAAAACTGATTTATTGCCTCGCGAAATTCATTTGATTTGTATTCTTTATTTATATTCCATTGTATAATAATTATGTGTTTAGATTGCAGACTACGCAAACATCATGAGCAAACGCTAGCAGAGCCTGGCACTTACATTTCACGACTTTAAAGAAGTTTTTTTCTTTCTTTTTAACAATAATTGTTACGTTTATTAACAACAACAACATAGACAAGGCGTGCGCCGGGTTAGGACCGTAAGCTGCGATGAGTATTTGATTTACACATACACCACACATTACCAAATAGCTCCAGCATTGGCAGACATACGACTTATTGCGACAACCATCTGACGTCAATCGCATTACTTTTCTCCGAATCATTAACTCCAGGCGATGACACCAATATCACCTACATAGACGACAGCTTAAAAGCAAATCATTTACCTTTCCGTCTCACTTTCCAAATTCCAACACCTTGCCGGTTATGACAGTCGAATTCCTTAACTCATCCGTCAAGCTGCTAAGCTTTATCAGGTGAATGCTTCCCGCGCTGCGAGAGGGCTAGATATCGTATTGACAGTTCCGTTTTCGGGCAGGGGCCAGGTCGACAATCTGTCACCCTCAGATGGGCACTGATCGCATGGCGTTGATCCTGCCGGGCCGCGGCAGGCTGCAGACCTGGTGTCTAACGCGGACGGGGCGCGGTCTCTGGCGCACCATCTCCAGGTTTCCGTCCATGGAGGGCCACGTCTGGACGGCGGGCCGGGCCTGCCGGTGCGGCTCCTCCGCCTGCGTCTCGTGCTGCAGCGCCTGCAGGCTGACGGCGCGCTGCAGGCTGAGCCGAGCCGGCTTCTGCGGGGGTCTCGGCCGCTGCAGCGAGGCGGCCGCGTTCTGCAGCCGCCGCTCCCCGAACAGCTGCAGACGCTGCAGCAGCGAGCGGGGCCGCGGCGCCGGCTGCGGCCGCGGCGGGCGGGACACCGTCCCCGTCCCGGCTGTCGTCCCCGGGCCAACAGTCACAGCGGCTGAAGATGAGGGTGACGATGCTGGTAATGAAGAGGGAGACCGAGGCGTGGACAGGTCACCTGAGAAGCCGGGTGAGGCGGGAGGGGAGAGAGCCGTGGGGGAGGACGGCAGCGAAGGCGGACACGCAGAGAACGACGGCGTGGTGGGAGACGAAGGAAGCGAGGGAGTCGTCGACGACATCGTCGAGACGACAGAGGGCGAGGTGGGGAGGGAGAGCGGGGAGACGCCGGTCTGCTCGGCGGGCACAGTCACGGAGATGAGGTGCGGGTCCCGGGGGGTGATGACCGGGCTGCGCTCATGGTCGGAGGCGCCGTCCGGCACCCGGGAGGGAGGCGGGGACTCGGCCGACACTCGGACGTCGCCGTCCTCCTCAGTGTCGAGAACGGCGGGGCGCAGACTCTCGTCGGTCACACCGCGGATCTTGTCCAGAATGTTCTGCATCTGCTGCACCTGAAACACAAGTTTTGATACTTATTAGTCCATTGCTTGCATTTACCGTTTCCATAAACACTCGTGATCCATATCACTGGGCTTTCGTAGCGCAGACGTCATTAGCCTAACCGTTAAAAATACATAAGCTTGGTATAGGCACATCTTTAAAAATGGCTTATAGATTGCTTGAATAAGCGTTTCATCCTTTTTTCCTGTTGTTATAAAGAATCCTGGCTCTAAGCAAAGCGAATAAATCTACTTTTACTCTTCTGGATTATATGTTCGCGTTGATGCCAAGCCGATGCTGAACTAATGCATGTAAGCCGACTCTTCAACAACCTGCGCAAAAGCTTGATTTGCCGAATGGCCGAATATATTCAGCAATACCTTATCGGCTAATCCAACCAACAAAGGAAACTGCAGTACCTACAAAAGTTCAGCCTTGCTCACTAAGGCATCAAATAAGGCATCGAGTATCCAAAATGCTGATCAATAAACATATCCGAAAACCGATGCAGTACATCATACAACGCATTGTTACCCTCGTCTCCAACTGGCGGACGCGTCTGAGGAGCCTTTGGTTCTCGGCGCGGTAGGCGGCCGTCTCTTCGATACTCCTCTGCGTCTCAGCTCGCAGCGCCTTGTTGAGCTGCGTCTTCTGCTGCAGCCGGCCAGAGAGCTGCGCCAGCTCCTGCTGAAGAGCTGCCACAGCGGCGGTCGGCCCGGCCCGCCGGCCCAGACTCGGTGGGCGACAGCGGACCACGAGAAGTCGCAGCGGGCTGCCGCAGTCCGCCAGCAGCCGGCGCACGGCCGACCCGCCGCTGCTAGTGGTGGTGGTAATACTGCTGCTGTCACTGCTGCTGCTGCTGCTGCTGCCGCTGCTGCTGCTGATGCCGGATGTTATTGAGTGGCCATTTACCTCGATCAGTCTGTCAAAGGAGCGTGCGATGGTTCGAGTTACACAACCCGCGGTTCGTGAATAACACGGATGCTACCAAGTCCTTGTACGGCAAATCTGCGTTGCCTTACGTGCTATGTGTGGTCTGACGAGCGACAACACCTAACTTCGCGCGTGACAATCTGTGCATCTGAGGATGTCTATTGTCGAATATGGTAAAATAGCGATCTTACCAGACTGACACTAGAACTCATAAGCATTGACGCATGTAATTCATATGCATGTGACGTCGTCTGGAACTATTTTCCCTATATGTTTGCATTCGGTTGGCACGAGATAATAGAACAAATTATATTAGGTACCTGAAAGTATGAACTATATGGCAAATGTCTCAGGAGGGCTTACTCCAGAATCATTCCGAGTTCTATTGGAATGTCGAGCTGTTGCCTTTCCTAAAGTGAGGACGAGAAATATTTTGACGAATCTTTGTCGTTGAAAAAATATTTGTCCATTAGATTGCTAAAAATGCTGACTCAAAGCAATTCTCGGACGTGTAAGGTTAGTTTGGGTAATGTACATAAGGAAGAGTTATGTTTTTATATGTTTATTCTATCAAAGCTAGTTGAAGACAGTCATGAGAAAATATGTTAACCCGGCAGTTGCTGGGGTATTTCGCCACCCACCGTTTGCTGGGGGGGGGGGGCGTTAAACGCCCCCAGCCGATAACTCGAGAACCAATAGGCGCAGCGAAACGCACGAGGCGGCAAACGAAAGAACGCGACGAGACGCTTCAGATGAGTACTTTAAAGTTGAATTTTGAGGTCACAGGTCGGGTCAAGGTCAGGTCAAACACCTGAAATCGGGTTTTCAGTAGCATGGACTTCAGGACTTCGCAATGGGCGCCTCTCGTCATAAACTCTGTCAAAACGGTGCACAATCCATCATATAAGGCCTACAAGAGTGTCAGCTCCATGTAGGGGTCAGTCAAGCATAGGTCAGGGTCAAGGTCAGGTCAACCGGGTAGGCACATATCCCCGAAAATCAAAACTGATATTCGCAGCCTGTGACACATGTTTTATGGGTAATTTGGGGCGTAGAACACGATGGTGACATTCATTTTATCATATGTGTACGTGTTTGGCTCAAAAAGTTCAATTTAAGAAATGCATGTATCATGGTCGTCAAGTAGTCACGATAAATTGCCAAGTTTCAGTTCAAGAATTTGGAAAATTCGGAACGATAATCAATAATCGAAGATAGCCATTTAATTGCTCATGGTATTGGCAGTCTAATGGCGTTTACGGCATGTCTGTATGTCTATTCTGTGATTTTATATGATTTTTTGAACATATGCCGTTTTTGGTCGAAAACTCAGAAATCATGACGTCACTAAAACCTCGATATCTCAAAAATTTCCCAACCGATTTTTTTGAAACTTTGTCACAATAAACTTCAATCAATTCCCTACAGGTACCCAAAATTTGGCGCGCGCCGTTTTTATGCTATGGCCCGGCGAAAAAAGTGGGGGCGTTTAACGCCCCCCCCCCCCCCCAGCAACTCGCGGGTTAATGAGAACATTTGTCCAGGCGAATACTCGTCCCCATTCTTCAATGGAAGCGACATATCTGAAACGTTAGCAGTCACGTCAATTCATCCTCATACCTAACAGTCAAATATGATCAACTCAATAGCTGTGTTTCGTCAATCATGACCATGACTTCATTACGGGGACGCCCAAACATTCGGCCTAACAGTACTGCCGGGAAACGTGACTCACTGAGCCAGAAATCCCACTCACACGGCCTGACGACATTATTGGACGCTGAAGGCCAGTCAGACTCACTCAATCCTGTCTTTGTTTCAACAGCTAAAGGTGAGATAAGCCCTCGAATATGCCACATTATCGTGCGGGACCGTTACGCGGAAATATTGATCGGGTGTGAACACCTGAGTAAAAAATACCGATACATTTTTGGTGGTAAGAAAGCGCGGCATGGGATAGACGAAACGGTGCACAATAATGTCGTACGAAGCACCTGCTGCAAGTCAGCACTACCTGTCGCCTTATCTTCAATCTTGACAGATGTGAGACATACGTGAGGTAGCTGCTCAAGGTTGCACTGGATAACTGTTCGGTATCGGTTTTTGTCCTTTACCCCATGCATCTGCATCTCCACACGTAAAACGACTGCAAATTGCTACGGAGCACGCAAGACCGAGAAATACAGTGATGAATAGTCAATTACGACCGAAGAACACCCTGGGGGCTAAATTCTCCGATACTTATCCAACAAGAATCACTTCCTTATCTTCTTCCTTGGATCAACCTCATCTATCTTCCGCATTCAAAATAACCGCGTCCGCGTCCTATTTTTGGAACTCTCAGCTCTCCAGTCGTTACTCATCCTTTCCATAGCCTTATCCCTTTTCCTTTTCCATGTAGCACACCAACTCGTAGTCGTACGCCGTCAAACTCATAACTCCCTACCATCTAACTCACCGGTCGCCGACGCTCAGGCCGCAGGAGTCGCTGGCCCATTCCACCAGCACCCCTGGCTCTGCGACCGTCTCGGTAACCGAGAAACACGGAGAGTCGGGGTCATAGGACACCGAGAGGCACAACAGAGACACTTCCGCGTGACTCGGGAGGCAACTGTGGAAGAAGAGGCAAGGAGTCAATATTAGAACCAGGGGTCGTAGGGCACCGAGAGGCACAACAGAGACACGTCTGCGTGACTCGGGAGGCAGCTGGGAGGAGAAGAGTGACTGTCAGAAAGATAGAGAGAGATGTAGAGATAGGGATAGAAGGGGAGATAGAGAGAGAGCAAGAGGGGCGAGAGAGAGAGAGAGAGGGAGAGAGAGAGAAAAAGAAAGAAAGAAAGAAAGAGAGAGAAAGAGAGAGGAGAGAGAAAGATGAGAGAGAGAGAAAGAGAGAGAGAGAGATAGGGGGAGAGAAAGAGAGAGAGAGAGAGAGAGAGAGAGAGAGAGAAAGAAAGAAAGAAAGAAAGAGAGAGTAGGCACCACCATTCGACCGAATCGAATGGTGCTATTTTTGTTTCCGTACGAGGTCTAGAACTTCCAAAAAAATCATTTTTTTTTTTAAATTGTGTGTCGTGACGTCATAAAATCACGTTTCTGTAAATAGTATTTTAGGATACCATGAATTCTAACCCCCGCTGGGCTTTTCAGCCATACGCGCCCTGCTGGGGGGGGGCAGATTCTACCCCCTCTCTAACTTCCGAACCGATGGTCGTAGAAAGACGGGGAAAACGGCAATCGAAAGCTCTCAACAAGGCGGATCTTAAGAGCCCATTTCTTTGCTCAAGTAGGTCAGAGGTCAGGTCAAGGTCAGGTCAAGTGATGTCAAATTTTGAAGTTGGTTGTTAAGGTCTAAAAAGGTATCTATCTGATGTAGTTTGTCACGGCGAATCGAATGGTGCTATTTTTGTTTCCGTACGAGGTCTAGAGCTTCCAAAAAAAATCATTAAAAAAAATGTGTGTCGTGACGTCATAAAATTTTGAATAACTCCCACATTTTTTAACCGATTCTTCTAAAAATTGGTATGTAAGTGCACATAGACCACTTCTCTGAAATATGTATATTCCGGTTTCTTCAATACACTTAAAATTTTTGATTTTGTATTTATATTCTAAAAAAAACAGTTTTTTAGACAAAAAATTTGGGCCAAACTCCAAAATTTTCAAAAAACCGAGATAGCCATTTGATAGACAAAGTAGAATCACGTGTAGCCTTTTTGTTACGTCTTGATTCCTTTAAAAATGAAGATGTTAGCGGCGTTTGAAATTTTTCCGTTTTTGAGGCGAAAATGGCGGACATGACGTCACTAAAACGTAATTTTCTAAAAAAAATCGACGGATTTCGCTCAAATTTTTAGGGTACGTGTTACATTGATGTATGATAAGGTACTAAAAGTTTGACGTTGTTGGCTTAACACGTTTAGAAGTTATTGTCGAAAAACGGGAGGGGGATAGATTCTGCCCCCCCCCCCCAGGGGGTGGGGGGCGAGTTAATTAACGGTCGCGAAACATTAAATTGATCTACGATCTAAACACAAGTAAAATCAAGGTAAATCTGCTATGATATGCACAAGAATAGAAATGTGGTGTGTAATGTGTGCACACGTATACTGTTTATGGCAGTTTAGCGATGCTGGAATTCCTCCCCTCTATTTCACTACCACACATTTTCTCCCCGATTTAATGACCCGAACCGTCAATTTGGAAGGAGAGGAGCACCAACACGCGGTGCGATCGGTCAGAGCCGCGCCCGTCGCTCCATCCCACTTAATTCACCGTGACATGAAGTGGCTGATGGATGGCGGCCATCGATTCCCAAACTGGAACGGCGTTAGTTTTGAGGAGAGCGCGCCGCCTAAACAGCCGCCTGTCTCTCTCACGGCCGGCTCCGCCCCAACTTCACGCCGACGGTTGTAACACCATTCCCAGACCGAGCCAGTCGAGACTGACGGAGATTACAGAGAGAGAGAGAGAGAGAGAGAGAGAGAGAGAGAGAGAGAGAGAGAGAGAGAGAGAGAGAGAGAGAGAGAGAGAGAGAGAGAGAGAGAGAGAGAGAGAGAGAGAGAGAGAGAGAGAGAGAGAGAGAGAGAGAGAGAGAGAGAGAGAGAGAGAGAGAGAGAGAGAGAGAGAGAGAGAGAGAGAGAGAGAGAGAGAGAGAGAGAGAGAGAGAGAGAGAGAGAGAGAGAGAGAGAGAGAGAGAGACCTACCTGGAGAGAGAGGCGGTCGGCAGAACCGGGCCGGTGTCGTCCTCTGCTCCCTCGAGGCGCGCCCGCAGCCTCAGGTGCTCCCCCTGTATGTTGAGGATATTCAGCTCCTCTGTCTCCAGTCGATACTCGAGCTCGGCTCGGCGAATGCAGTCGTCAATGTTACGTCTGAGAACGGTAACGGCCACCGTCAGTTGGCTGGGAAATACGAGTAGACAGGATAATCACATGAGAATAACTGTCACATTTAGTTCACGGAATGGAAATTCATTGGTATGCACAAGGAAATGGTTGATGAAAGCCCGTGAATCTGATATCATCGGAAGGTTGATACGACCAAAAATGTCTGGCGAATAAACACAAGGCTACCTATTTATTTTACACTATAAATGAACGGGAACGTTCAAAGCATTGTAATCTTCCGTTAGTGATCATGGTTTTCGCACGTTGGTGGCCGCCAGAGACTGAAAAATAAGAGTCTTGTCAGACATTGAATCAGGCAGACTTACCCTGATCTGGCCCGTGGAGAATACCCATGTTTGTAACGGTGGCACCAAAATAACCGTTGGCAATTTGATGAGGAACATATGTGTTTTCCTTTATGTATGCTAGCTGCAACCTTCATACGTGTGCCATTATCACTTTGTTCTAGTCGCAGCAGTTGTACTTACGCGCAAAAAAAGTAGTCCGGAGCAAAATGATGGCAAATGTTATCTAGTGATTGGACCCTTTGTTGTTTGACCTTGACGAAGATATGCTTATAACTTCGGTTTGTGGTAGCGACACCTTTTTGTGGGTCTCATCTGGGTATGGAGACTGCACAATGCTTAAATGCATTAATTGCTTGCAACTGCCCTAAAAAACGCAAACAGCACAAATGTTTCATGTGCATGGTGCTCCTCTTTCAAACCCACCTTAAGTCGATGAGGCGCGGTTGTAGCAGGTGTTGGCATAAATGTCAACTTCCACAGCAGTCACGAATACGAAAACGTTTAACGAACATTTCAAGATGTATGCATTATGTACGGTATTTCAATGATTTGGAGTGCTGGTGTATCAAAAAACCTTGGTTTCATAATAAGCGACGATTATTCCGATCCTTCTTTCCCACGCATGACCTACCACTCGTGATTCAAATACGGCTCCTTATCAAATACTGTAGCGCCCCAGACATTCTCCGCACTCACTCTGTTGTATCCAGCTGCTCGAGCGTGAGGCGGGCGTTCTTGACATGCGCCCGCCTCCTGTCAATCTGCTGCTGGAGGTGGGCAGAGCGCTCGAGCAGCAGGGCCCGCTCCCGCTGCCTCGCCTCTCGCTCTGCCTCCCGGCTGGACCGCGACTGGCACACGGAAAGTAGCTGGCTCTGTAGGCTGGAGATGGGACGGGCTTAGAGTCAGAGTCAGAGTTTACAAGGAAAACGGCTGACTCTGTAGGCTGGAGATAAGGCGGGGTCAGAGTCGCAAACACTGACTGACACTTATGATCACAAATGATCACAAATGATCTTACAGAGTTAACTGTCTCTGTAAGAACATTGCTGTGGAAAGTAGAGTTTATTGATCATTTGTGGCAAGCGTTCCCTCATATTGACGAAAATGTGATCGGCAATTGACTGAAATTTGCATGCAGCCTGCTCAACATAAAAATAAGCATTTATAAACTGATGTCTTCAAAGACAAGGAAAAAAGGCAGACACTTCAAATTTTCAGGTAAAGATGGTAATTATTTTGGAAAACGTGCGAATTACCGTATAAGCAATATCATACCCAAAACAATCGATATATGCAACGGTAACATATTTTACCGTTTCTTCACCTTGTTACTTTTGAACGTACACATCCAAAGTGAAATTTTTACACGGAAAACACTGTATACCTACAAGGACTGAATCAAAAACCATCGATGATTGATGTGAAACGAGCTGCACCTAATGTGAAATAGCTGCACCTAATGCTGAGACCTTTGAGACTAATCCTAGTCACGCGATCGTTCAGAAAAAGACATCGGTTAAAACTGTTCACCAGACACAATAGATCATCAGTATGATTATCGAGGCTGTTTTGAGGCTTTCTGTTGTCCCTATTACGGATGTTTTGTAAGACGGTATGCGAACTGTTGGGCCGGTGACAACAGTCCCTGTGTTTCAGAAATATAATGGCGCAACACACAGAAAACAATATTAACGAAGGTCGTGCAAGGAAAAATACTTAAGTTCCGCTGCACTGGATGTGGGCATTAGCATTAGTGCTGGTTCTACTGTATCTTCACTCTTGTAAATAACAGTTAGGGTATATCTTTTCGGAGCATACTCCCAAGTTTCAGGATGATGATTCCAATGTTGATCTCCATCCAAACGCAATGAGCGTGAAACATAACAATTTGGAAGCGAGCGAAATTAAGCACCGTATCAAAATCAGCAAAAGATTTGCATAATTATTTGTCGGTCATAACAATGCTCAACACAAATCGTCTTCCACTGATTTTTTTTTCAACGCGAGTATTGCGTTTTGCCTTATGCGTTTTGCCTCAACTAAAATAGACGATAGACATGCCAGTACATGTTAAACCAGCCCATACGGCTGTATTTTGCTACATAAGTTTGATAGGGGAGAGTGGGGTAAGATGCCCAGGGTGGGAAAGACGCCCCACCCCCTCTAGCGGCGAAACAAAGAATTAAACCGGGAAATTGATGTTCTTAGCGTAAAGCGGAAGCCTGCCTTGTTAACTGCACAAAAATTTGCGAAGCTCAGTTGGGCAACGGCTGGCTGGTGATTGCATGTTTTTTATTTGTTGCTTTCAAAAAATATTTTGGTGTCAAAACATTGTAAATATCAAAGAAGGTAGATAATTTTGCGTCCCTTGCTATAGCCGTGATACATTAACATGCGTGTACTGTGTCCCAAACAGTTTGTTTCAGGGTGTAGTTTTATGGCTAACAAATTGTACTGATTTAATGTAACTTCGGTACCTTGGGGTAAGATGCCCCCTGTCCTGATGGGGAAAGACGCCCCCCTAAATCCATAGGCTGTCCTTCAGGCAGCCCGTCAAATCATTTATTACACACTTGTGATGAGAGACAATAGCCGATCTGGGACTATTGAGAGCCCAGTACAGTAGGGTGCTCCCCATGCCGGCCTCTCGGCCCACACAGCGACTTTTTGGGCGGCATCTGACTCTGAGAGCCCTTACGACGGCCTCTGTGGGCCCCATTATTGGCTTCAGGGCCCCTCACGACATCCTTTGAGGGCTCCCACGTTGGCTCCACGGGCCGCGCTGGCATATGAGGTCCCCACGATGGGCTCGAGGGCCCTTAAGCATCATGAAGACCTATAAGGGCCCCACAGCGGTCTCCGAACGCCACCACGGAGGCTTGTTTGGCCGCGCTGGACTATGATGGCCCTAACGATGACCTCTGAAGCCCCTTACGACTACTTTTGAGGGCCCTTACGATGACGTTTGGTGTCTACTGCAGGCTCGAAGGGACTACTGATTCGCTCAAGCGATTCACGTGCCCATTTATGTCACTTATAGTGCAGGGGGCATCTTTCCCAACGCCAGGGGCGTCTTTCCCACCCTGTGGGATAAGATGCCCCCTTTCACTTCTTCAGGAAATTGCTTAATAGCAAAAAAGTTATCATATTTCAGGCACGAAAGTGTGATATTTTTGGAGAAAAATGATGTTGGCTTCCGTTGAAACTCCAAGTTTTTGCTTTTCGATTGTCATTTTCGAATAATATATGACATAGTAAAACCCTGGGCATCTTTCCCCACTCTCCCCTACTGATTCAAATAACGACATGGACACAAATGTTCTGTAAAGCTCCATCAATCACGCTCCACCAAAAACAGCACCGGAGTTACACGGTGTTTGTTACTGGGTCACTATCTATTGCCCGATTCACACCGACTCGACTGTCGCGTGACTCGTGATTGCATGTCTCCAAATAATAACTCGGACTCACCGTGTTGCTAATTTAAACAGAGCTGACAACTGTCCCGAACATGAACATTGGCAAACCGACCCCGATAGAAGCGCTAAATAAATGAGCAAAAATTCAGAACAAACTGCAGCTCAACACCATTGAAATGAACACTAGGACGCGATACTCCGTGGATGCCAGTCTGGGTCGCTGAAGCTCTACTTGGCAAACAAACATTCCGCCTCCCACGGCCGGCCTACATATAACCAAGTGGCTCTGCCGCTCCCTACTGGCCGGACAGAAGGCTTTCTCTATCAGCCGCGGCGCCGCCCTGCAGGACACCGGGTCACTGACACAGGTCACGTGACCGGGTCACAGTCGTGACAGCCAGTGGACCCGATTGGTCACGTGTCCGGCGCCGGGTCAGCGGCGCTGACCCCGGTCGGCGCGTCATTGCACGCCCCAGTGCGCCGCAATGGGCGCCTCGGCGGCGTGTCGTGCCGCGCCGCACCGGGGCCCTGTTTCACCGGTGATAGCAGCACGCCGATTTTACGACTTGTCAAATTGGGTTTCCATGGAGACATCAACAGGCCCATTGCTCCAACACTACCACAAGTGTGACGTCAGCTCGCGCAATTTGATAGCAGCGTGGTAGCAGCAGCCCGTGAAACACCGCCCAGGTCAGGGCTCTGGCCGCCCGACCGACCGCGGCAGCCGGCCACTAACGCAGTTATCACCGCCGTTACACGCTATGGTGAACCACAAAACTGGCCGTCACGCGTCACCACACTCACCGCTCCACCGCCGATGACGGCGCGGGGGCGTTGAGGCAGGACCGACGGCAATCTCTGACCGCCAAGGACAGGCTTATGTAGGCATATCTGTAATCTGGTGCCTCAGACACACATCAACCGCAAGCGAGAATTAGGTATACATAGTTGATGACTTTCGTTGCGCTAGACAAGGCTGTGAACAGGTAGCAGATAGAAATAATAAACAGCAAATAACAAATGAAGGACAAATAGCGAGTTAAACACAGCTCAATGGAAGCGTATTGTTTTGATTGTACCCAACGCTGCATGGAAACAGGGCGAGTCAGAATTGTTTCAAACTGCTGTCCCGTTTGCAGGCCATGTTTCGCCACAGTCGGTGACCACAGCCCGGCAGTATGGCCGGGGTGCAGCCAAACGGTGCACAGCAGGAATTTAGTTTGTCCCCGGCTACTCCGCGGAATTTGCCCCGCCCCGTGTCACCGCCGGTCGCTGCACTGCACCAGGTGGCCAGACAATCAGGCCTCTCTCCGGTCCAGTGAGCTGGGAACATACATACAGGCATGCCTACCAACAGAGCCACAGACAGACACTGACAGGCATACATACACGGCCTACGTCAAAGTCTCGGCATCCGCCGGGCGGCGCGACCGGACCGCGTCGTGCACGGTTTACCGTATGACCGACGATGCATGACCACGGGTCAGGCGGGCGCGCCGCGGGTAAACGCCTCACCTGGCGATCAGCAGGTCCTTCCGCTTCAGGGCGGCGTGCAGCGCTCCGATCTCGAGCGCCAGATGACTCGAGTCAGCCGCCGGGAGCTTCTCGTCTCTCTCCAGCAGGTCAGCCACCGTCCGCGCCGCGCCGGTCCGAGAGTCGAGATCAGAGCCGTCCATGGCGGCGCCTCCTGCATTCCTCCCTGAGCGAGCGCCGCCCGCCGTCGGGTGCCCTTTGCGGGAAACTGGGCCACCGTGGTCCGGGCGGCGCCCGCACTCGGAGGTCGGTCCATCCTCCGGACGCCCGTCGACACAGCGCTCCTCCGATGGTGCGCGCTGCGCCATCGACGCCATCTGAAACGAAGCGATGGGAACGGCGATCAGGAATGCGCCGCTCTGAGCGAGTTTTTATTCGCCGACTGCTAGTTTCGTCAGTTTCCGCGTTGAACGACATGCAGTGAACTTCCCCGATTATTTGAATACAAAGCGGTGTCACTAAGGATGTGTATTTTGGTTCCCATGGGCCCGTAAAGGTCACAGTGCCAGGCACGATGGGGTGGTCCCATGCACTTCATCAAACAGTCGCCTTAGCAGCCGAATTTTATTAGATTTGCCGACAGCGAACATCAGGACAAATCAGCACGCTCGCGACCGATCTGTGTTTGACACTCAGCGGATCGATTTTGATTGATTACTTACCAATACAGTTGACCTTAAGTGGGTGACAAAGACGCCCAGTGTTGTTGGTATTATCTCCCAATGGTGCAATAGCCCAAAGAGCACATTCCATTCACTTATAATCCCAGGGAAGAGTGCATTAGAGCGCTTGCTTCTGCTTCAGTGCTTTTAGAAACACCATCTGCTCCTAAGTCCTTTTGCAGCTTTCCAGCTCTCGGAAAGCGGCTTTTCCCGATCTTTGACAGAAATGCATGCGTATTGTGAAATTGTGCAACTGTGAATGCTTGCAAGTCTTTGCTGGAAGTTATTCCGGCCTTTGATATTGCATTTTATTGATGCTTGCTTTCATATTTTGCACCAGGACATAGCTGAATCAGCATCATGCTTTATCTTCTTCTTTTTTTTTTTACTTTTGTGTCATACTACGTTTTCGTGTAACAAATGAAACTCAAATGCATCTAATTGAGCGCATAAATCCAGCAGGCGAACGCCTCAGTACATAAACACACTCCATCCATCAGTGTGTGCCCATTAGTGGTCGGCGCCCGTGTTCCCTTCGTGTCAGGGGTGAGTCGATCTGGCTCACCTATTAGCCAGCTCATGCCGCTTCTTTCTGCGGTTAACCAGCATAATGAGCAGTGCCGCGTCCCGTCCACTGCCCAGTGCCCGACCAGCTGGCGCACTTTGATGGTGAAACGCTGAGACTCTAACCTTGAGGACGTGGTAAGAACGCCGTAAGAATATAGTGACGTGACTCTTTTTTAGCGAGTTCGTACGTACTATATGTACGGCGGACAAAGCGGAACCAAGCTGAGTTCGGTGTGAAATAAGAGAGGTCTGCCTTTCATATTTATGAGTAGATAAGAGTAGATGAGCGTCCGTGTGTCATATGCTTCGCGCAGTGGGTGCCGCATTTGTCACATTGGCCGTGTTCCGCTTAGCTACCCCTGCTCTTCTATATGTTACAGGCCGTATGAAAACTCAGTCAGTTTGCAAACGGCCTGGCCCGATTCAGGCCGTTTGCAAACGGCCTGGACAGCCCAGTCAGTATGCAAACGGACTGAAAAGTCAGGCCGTTTGAATACGGGCTGAAATTCCAGGCTGTATGCAAACCGCCTGAAATTTCAGGCCGTTTGTAAACCGTCTAGGCCGTATGACAACTTTCCAGACACCAGGCCGTTTGCAAACGGTCTAGGCATTTTGAAAACCATCTGGTCTGCATGAAGTTGTAGCTGGACAATGTTGAGTTTGTTGAAGCACGACCGTTTCATGACATTACATGGCACCATGAAATCCTGGGGTACATTCGGCATCCGGAAAATATTGTCACTCGGATATTCTCCTTGGGAAAATTATTGGTGAGCGTCTATCTTCAGCATGTCTCATTATCGCGATACCGAACGTGATCCCCGATAATTCTCGCTAGTCCCGGAAAATTCTCCCTGATTTTCCGGATGTCGAATGCAGACCAAGGAAGAGATTAGCGGAACTGAGGCCCGGCCCGAATAGCGTCCGGTTGACCCGGGCTTCCCCTGGACTTTAAAGTTTCGCCTTCCACCGCAATGGTCAAGTTCTTGGGTCAAGTATAGCCGGCGTACGCCACCGGCCAGCCACCGGCGGTCGACCGGGCGCGGTCAGGACTCTAATGTCAACTGTAATGTCCATTGTGCGCTCCTGCGCTTTATGCCGCAAAATAATCGTTGAGTCTTATAGTGATGCGTTTCATCAGGCTTCACCAGGCTCCATCAACTGGATAGCCGTAAACAGGCGAACCGAGAACTTGTATAATTAGTACTAATAGCCGTTTTCACGACGGCACCAGGAATCGGCCGAACATGACGTCACTCTGACGTCATTTCCGGCTGACCTATGGTAGCTACGAAGTTCATATTTGACAAAAGGTGTCAAATTGATGCAGCCGAAGGAGTACTGAAAGTTTGGCGTCGATACGTCAAGCGGTTCGGAAGTTATTGCAGAAGAACGGGAGGGAGGCTATGAATAGCCCCTCCCCCCAGTGGGGCGCGGGTTAAGCTATCTTCAGAGGCTGTTGTACTTCGCCAGACCGTTTGAAAACTGACTAGGCCGTTTTCAAACTGTCTAGGCCGTTTCAAACTGCCTGGGCCGTTTACATACGGCCTGATATTTCAGGCGGTTTGCAAACGGCCGGCTTTTTCAGGCCGTTTTCAAACGGCCTGACTGGGTCAGGCCGTTTGCAAACGGACTGGGTTTTCATACGGTCTGTAACATATATACCGTTTAAAACTATATGGTTTTACCGGCGTGTGCTGGCACATCCCACGTCGGGTGGAGTGCAGGGCAGCCATAGCTCCAAATTCGGACGGTGGTGGTATCAGATCTGACTCAGACCAACAGTTTTTATAGACGAACAGTGACGCACGTGACAGTTTACCATGGTGTCACGCGTTTGTTCCGCCCATAAAAGTTTTAACATTTGGAGCGTTAGTGGGTGAGCTCGGTGGCGGAACAAGACGGACGGGAGGTGTGGGGCGTTTCTAATGCAATTAAAAGGAGTGACCGGCGCTAGATCATAAGATAAACCCGCTCAATGAGGGCGTGGGAATAACAAGGGTGAACGACTTTTGGAGGAAACGAGCAAAGCCCCACAAATATCTACCTTTTATTGTTTTATATATCTTTTATGAACAAAGACAGCTCTTTAAACCCATTTTTATCAAAGTGGAATCATCGTGCACTTGCATACATAGTCTGTTCCCCGCCGCGTTAGAGTTAACTTCAATCAACGTCACCACAGGAACAAAATTACTCTGCGCATGGCAGTCGGTGCTTCTCCTACAGCCAGTCTGAGTATTGTGCTGTCATGTTCGTTTCGTTGTCAGACGTCTTGATGGAGACAAGTGGCCACTCATTGGCACCGCTCCCGCCTTCCCATGACCTTAATTTCAGATCCAACTGGCTCAAGTGAATAACAACGGCCTGAGATGAAGTAAAACGCAGATGGGCCTTGGAGATGTCTGGGGAGGCAGCTAAGCCATGAAGATCAAGATACCCGAAATGATTCAGCTTTCCTGGTGACTGTATGTAGACAAAACTTTTAAACCAGTAAAACGCCTTTTGGGCGAAGAACGAGCGAGCGAGATAGTGAGCCCTGCACGTGCAGAAGGGCGAGAGGGTACTTCTAACGGGCTTGTGCAAAGCAGCAAAGCACCCTTCTAACCGGTCGCTAGCGGTGTGCCAAATTTGAACGCAATCGGTCCAGCCGTTCCTGAGATCTGGAAGCGGCATTCTGTACGTGCGCACGTGCAAACGGGGTCCAAAATGACTTTTGCACGGCACCCTACTAACCGGTCCCCAACCGTGTACCAAATTTGAGCGGAATCGGCCCAGCCGTTCTCGAGATCTGGAAACGCCCCCTGCACGTGCGCACGTGCAGTAGCACCCTAACCGCAACACATGGGAATGCATTGCCTGGTGGGTGCCTACCTGTATGCCAAGTTTCAGCGAAATCGCCCCAGTAATTACCGAGTTACTGAAATGGGAACAAATTTGGCACCTCTTATTGTTGTATTTTGCACGTGCAGTGGGGGTCACTCACATAGAACAGGAGTATATGACCTTTGGTAGAAGGGATGCAGCTACCCTATAAAAATGACCGCAAGACAATCGCTCAAGCCGCTGCTGAGATATGGGCCTCTCAAAATCATTACTTTTGCAAAACTGCTTGAACACCCTTGACTTTTCACGTGGCACGTGCCACGACGGTCACTGAGATGTATCAAAAGTAGTCAATTACGGGGTAGAAGGGATGGGCTACCCAGCAAAAAAAACCGCAGGCCAATCGGTCCAGCGGATGCTGAGATATAAGCCTCTCAAAAGCGTTACAGGCCGGGCCGGGCCGGGCCGCTCATACTGAGATTTTTCCGTTATATTGAAAAGACTCGCTTCGCTCGCTGCGCTCGCTCGCTCGTAATGAGATGGGTTTGAAGAATATAAAGATAGCATGTATGAATGACCGAAGCTCAGTTCATCAGTTGGAATGGGGCCGCTCGAATCTCGAGCCTGTGCTTCGAGCGATTCTATCGACTCGTTAAACTCCTGACGGGAATGCTCTGTAACCTATGCGGTGAAAGCCACCGGAACTATAATTTGAAGACAGTTTGCGCGACAAGGCGGTTCCGTTCCGGTTATTTGAACAATGTATTGTGGCTATGGAATTCTCCCGATATACGCGACTTTCCGTTGTTTCAAGTCAAGGTATTGTCATGGATGAGATAACATGAGATGAGATAACAGGCATTATTTCATCCATGGTATTGTTTTCTTGTTGAAGCACTTGCTGTATGTAAGGCATAGGTATAAGTTCTATGAGAAAAACACTTTTAAATGGCCTCCTTACAATGAAATACCGACAGATGAAATAATGAAATAATTATTGATGATTTCGACCACAGGTCATTATCAAAATAAGCCAGACAGAACTTTTGTCAGACACAACGGGAAGCTCACAATATCGGCAGAAAAATTCACATTTTCAAACATTTCACGTGAACACATTGCATATAGAGCTCACCTAAAATGCTGCTACAACTAACGAATGAAGTATATGTTATTAGGTTAAGTCCTATAGCCAAGACAAAGTTTAAGAATGTTCCCTATAATATCTCCCCCCCCCCTCCCCCACACACACACCCCAGAAT